CACGATACCACTGTTTCTTTTTCGTCTTTCCTTTGTGTAAGTACTGCCCCAAGTCCGTCAACGCTGGCATCGGTACGTTTTTAGCTTCCGTATTTTTGCCATAGTGGACTCGAATAGGCGTAGTCACTAACAGCTAAGGGAGTGTCGCAAACGCTTCTTGCTGCTTATGAGTTCATTCCCATCGCACGTTCTTCACTAAGTGCTCAGTAGGTGCTTACACCGCCAGTGATAATCCTGCCGACAGTAAGATGCAAGGCCAAGTAAGCTTCGCGCTTGCTTCACTTTCAATGGCACTTGGTAGTGTACTAACTTCCGGAGCTTTTCTGAGTCTATTTTCAGGTCTTCTGCATTGATTAGGTGTTTGAGATAACATATTTCTCCACTTGCAAAGATACACTTATTGGGTTGAAGGCGCAAACCACGTCTACCATCTATCATCATTTCTGAACGTCTGAAGAGTTCCCCACACATTGAAGGGAACTCCAGAATGTCGTTCAAATAGACCAGACCATTTCCCCATTTAATGCCTGTCAGCAACCTATTCATCAGGCGTTGAAATGATGTGAGGACGTTACACAGACCAAACGGTATTCCTCAAACGTATGACAGTCCATCCGGGGTTACAAACGCTGTCTTTTCCGGAGCCTCGGGAGCAATTTCTGCATGCCAGTATCTGCGAAAAGATTTAACGTTGAAAAGTACCGCGAATGAGCTAGTCGGACAAGAACGTCATTCATTCCCGACGGTGGATATATATTCTTTCAGGTGACATCATTCAGCCGGCGATAGCCAACACAAAAGCGCCAAGTATCGACTTTCTTCGGGATTAGCACTACAGGAAACGACTAATGGCTCTTTCATGAAACATTGACTGACCCATGTTTCTAACATTTCTCGGACCTGCTCGCCGATGACACGCCGTTCACTTGGTGAAATTCTTCTCAGTGGTACATGTATGGGTTAGCGTTCGTCACTATCTATCTTGTGCTTTACTATATCAGTGCCCAAATCGTTCAGCCCATGGGTGAAACAATGTTAATTTCTGAGAAAGTGATTTTTCATCCTTTCTTGTTGCTTCGCCGTCAAGTTTTTCCGTATTTCAACCCACTGTTGCAAACCCTTTACGCGACGAGTACCCCCTCCTACTTGCATAGAGAGTACCTTTTCTTCTAGAATTGACAATTTTGATGCTTTTTTCAGTCTCTTGCTTTCACAAAGCACAACCGCTCCTGCCCCAAATTCGTGACTGGAACATAAACAGTATCACTTTTGACCGTATACAGCCCTGTCGGTGTCGCATCTTCTGGACTGACCTGCATGCTATAAATGTTCTTTACGAGTGTCGTCCCATCGATCGCGCATAGTAGTTGCCCTGGTGCACAACTGGCTGTCCGTCCAGTTATTTCTGTGCACTCTTTCACTACACCGTTTCAATGAGTTCAGTTGTGCTCCATCATTGGCTAATGTTCCTAAAACTGCGAGTAC